AGAACTTCTTGAGCACCCCTTCCTCTCTCCCTCAATGTCTACTTTTACAAAACTCGCGACCACCAAAAAATCAATCATCTCAATGAAATCGATAACTCCTGTAATAGTAATATTTGGTTTTTCTATTGTGACCAGAAAATTTGGAACAGTGTTGGTAGTTTCTATTTGGCAATATGATTGGTTAGGAAAAATTCAAAGTGAAAGATGGGTAGAATGGTTTTGGTTGAAAAGAAAAAAATCTTTTTTTTATATAGGCTGTAATAAGCTGTAATGCAGTGAGAAAAAAAAATTCTATGGCAATGCAATAATTTTTGTTACACATAGTATAGTATTACCGCAATTTTAAGAATTATATTTCCGGAGTTGGAAAATTAACGCCGTTGCTGAAATTGATAAAATTGATAAAATTATTTCACAACTTCGAATATCATAGTAAATTGATAGTAAGGTTAAATTATACAATAGAAATAATAATTTTGTAGTACACATTTGTGCTAAAGGTGATATAAAATTAGAGTTTTTTTTTCACGCTACAGTCAAATCGTACATGCGGTGTGGACCAGTTTTGTGAAGAAACGAATACATGCTCATCATTCCGACCAGACGTTCCCTGCAAATTATTGACCCGCCAAGGGTTTTCTGTAATGAGAAAAAAACAGTAAATGTAGTTGATAAAATAAAATTAATTGGTGGAAGTAATTCATTTGTAATAATAGGCGGCACTCAGTCCATATTCATGCTTACATCGGGGAGAATTACAGACGAGTCAAGATCTTCAAAACATAGGTGGAACTCAGGAACAGGCACTCTTGTTAGGCACGATGCTCGATCAGAAATCTTCACTGACATCGAATATACCTGGCCACTATGTCCATTCAATCCCACGTATGTACATATTGAGGTCATATAATCCATTGTAAAACCGAATGGAATTGTTTGAATCGTGTGACTAAACTCGGCTGGCACATTGAGCTGAAAAACCGTAATAAATGAAAATGGGAGAAGTGACGGTTTCCCCTGTGAAAATACGGATATAATAGCACATGGCTTGTAAATAATTTCCTAAAAAATTATGCAAATATTAATTTTTTTTGCACTAATCTTGCAGGAAGTGACTCGTACCACAATCTCGCTGCATCAAGTGAGAAACACAAAATTGGTAATTTTTCATGGTTGGCTCGATATACAGAACCTTCCCTTCTTCGGCCCTTCTCCTTCGCTCTTGAAGCCACTATGATCTCGACATAATTATTCTTGTTTATTATTAGGGATTACCACCACTTACCCCAAGAAGTATAAGTGATTTGACTTTTTCCGAATAATTTTTGAAAGCTGGGATCAGTGGAGTGGAGCAATTATGTACTGAAGTGCATCCCAATTGGATCGCAATGCTATCAGGCATGCGAAAG